TACTCAGTTCAGTACTCACTTTAGTAATAGTTGTGGTTCTCATTTTTAAATATAGTATAATTAAATTCAAAATCTTAAATTTTTTACTAATTCAGCAATTAAAATTGCATTGCTGAATAAATAAAGTCGGAAATTTGCATTTATAGAGATATTCAGCGTATTATATTATAATTAAGAGCTGAATATGAGCTGAATTTCATTTATGCATCACAGGAACAGTTTTGTAATATAATTTCCATACTATGTTGTTATGTTGATTTTAAATCTATATTGTTTTCCGGATTGATTTGTTCGGCATAAAAATATGCTCTTCAAAAACAATTTCAATTCTTACGATCTGATGTTTCCCAATATAAATTGTGAGTCTACTCAAATTCCGAAAAATATTATCGACTTGAATTCAATTTTAGTACACCATAATAGGAGCAACAGCAAACAATGACTTGATTTTTTTTAGATTTTTGGTAAAAAAAGAGAAAAAATAAATTTTTTGCTTACATTTTTTTTTTTTGTTATTTTTTTATTTTTTTTCCAAATTTTCAGGTAAAACATTAAAAATTTCAATGTAAAGACGCATATTTTATTACCCGATTGAACATAAATAACGAACATAAAAAAAAAAAACAGAAGAAAAATAAGAAGAAGAAAAGGAGAAAAAATAATAAGAAAGAAATAAATAACACCGGTAAGATAAGGTAAAAAACGCATTTATCCTGGATAAGGACGATTTTTATTACATTCTTTTTTTGTAATAGAAGAAAAAAAACGAATCGTTTTTTATAATAGAAAATGCATGGGTACACGTAATTTTTTACTGATTGCTGATGAAGTGCTTTTGAAATTGTACAAAGATATTTGAAGATTTTTTTTTACATATTTTTGGAAACTAAAATCGAATCACCCTAGTAGGATGGTGTAATATAATTTTTTTTTACATAATATATTCAAAGATTTTTAATTATAATTCACGTTTATAAAAAAATATACAAAAAAATTGGAATTTTGATTAATAGCACGAAGGTCTAATTGAAATGGGAGTTAGAGAAGATTGTAATTTTGTACCGAAACAACAATTTAATGCATTTTTTCGGCATTTTATTTCTAAATATAGTATATGAGTCTTATTTCTGCCTAATACAATAGAATCTTGTTTTTAATTTCTTGAATACTGATTAAATATGACAAATGAAATTATTCAGCAATATAATTATATTTGCTGAATAGTTCAGATAAACATTATATCTCGATTAAAGTAATAGTTTTAATTTATTTGTATGAATAAAATGAATTATATTTATTTTATAATTTCTCTATTGAGAAATAAAATAGGGTATGATCGATATAGTTTGTATACATATACACTGTTTCATTTCTCAACAGACGAATTTTTATCCGTTCCAAGAAAGCAATTATGATACGCTTAAAAATAAAATAACAAGTTTTATTTTTTAAAATTTCGTACAAATTTCTTTAATTTTAATACATTTATGTTATAAAACTTTGTAAGCGTCAATCCCAACAATACACTGACTTCAAAATTATAATAGTATGATGTTGCTTTACAATTCAGCAATTATTATTAATAAGCTGAATAGCATATAAATATAGTTTAACGATAGAAAATAAAAATGTAAATGAATATTATATGAATTTCATTAATAAAAATGCATAATTTGCCATTTTTTTTTAATGAATACAGTAAATTTTATTGTCTCGTCTCTTTCTTTAGAACATTATCTTTCTCTTTTCATCTCATGTACATAAATATAATCGAACAAAAAAATTGCCAATTTTCATATAATTTCAATTGCTTTATTTTTTTTTTCTAAAGAATTTGGTAATTTTTATTGATTTTTTTTTCCTTTGTTGGGGTTGATTTTTTTTTTTCTCTTATGTTTGTGTTTTTAATTTTTTATGTTTTTTAACAAAAAAAAAAGAAGTTTTTTTTTTATTTTTGTTTTTTCTTATCTTAAATTTTAAGAAATTGAAATCCCTATTTTTTTAATGTTATACAAGGATTTTTAGTTAATAAAGATTTTTTGGCGGGTTTTTTTAAGGCTTCAATTTTCAAAAAATTGAAGAATTTTCAATCAAAAAACAAAAAATCCTTGATATTTTTTCTGTATTTTTGGATTTTTAAGATTTTTAACGGACTTTCTCACGCGAAATATGCGATAAAAAATTTAATCATTTTTTTTTTTTTGTAAAGATTGTCTGGAAACATTAAGAAAAATTAGAAGTTATGGAAAAAAATTTCAAATTGGTTGGATTTTTTTCATTTTTCTGGAATTTATCAGAAAAATATGCGATCGATTGCAAAAAAAATTGCATTGTTCGTTAAGAATAAGGTCATTAGGTCATGAAAGGATTTTTCTTTTGAAAGGATATTTTTTTTTTTTTACGATAAAGTAACTGTTCATTTTAGTTAAGCTATTGTTGTATGAAAAATAAAAAACAATAGAAAAAAAACGAGTTAAATTGTATAATTTTTCCAAAAATTTTCAAAAAAAATTGAAAATTTTTTTGATTGTTGTTTTTTTTTTTGTTATTGCAAAGATTTCTTGTATATTGAAGGAAACCGTTAAGTTATAAATGAAAAGAATAAAATCACTAATCCATAACTGATATTTTAGATTTATTATTGATAGATTTAGTGAAGAGCGATAAAAAAAAGGAGTACAATTTTTATTAAGAAGGGATTTATGAGCACATTGTGTGTAAAAAAGAAGAATTTTGGAGGTTTTAAAAACCGTTACAAAATAATAATATCGCGTTTTGTCTTTTTCATTGAATTTTCTCTATATTCTTTAAGAATTCAAAAAAAACCCCTTTCAATAAAAAATTTGAAACTTTTTGGAAAAAAAAAAGAAAATGGAAAATAACTGTAACTTTAAATTTTTGTATACCAGCAGATGTCATCAATTAAACTTTGTTAAGAAACTGTAAAGTCACTGATTTTTTATTTTTTTTTATATGAAACACAATAAGCAAGTAATTTGATTCCAGTTGCAAAATTTGATGTTAGCTTAAATTTCGGGAAAAATTTTTTAAAAGACCCCATAATGCATTTACAAAATTGCGTAAAAGGATTCCGGTTGAATTCATTATTGATTCAATAAAATAGTGAACAAATCTATGGAAATTTCTCTATAAAAATAAGAAAAATGAATGTCTTCAATAACAAGCTTCGAAAGGATTAGTAGGACAGTTCAGATTTATTAATGAATTTACACTAGATACCGTATGATTTCATATTTAAATCCAGGAATCTATAATCTTGAAAGTAATAAAACCATAACACTGACAGGATCCCTTTCTTACCAAAGAAAAACTCTCGGAAATATGGCGTCATCTAAAGAGAATTGATTCTTTGATTTCGAACAATGCTCATATGCTTATGCAAATCAAGACTGTTCTAGACTCCTCTTTATTGAGATACAGAACGTTATTCGTATGGGAACTGTTTACATAGTAAACAACGATTATTAAAAGAATAACCGCAAATAATAAATAAGGATATTAAAAACAAGAATTTTTCCATAATGATCTTTTAAGGCACTTGTGTAAAAATTCAAATTTTCTCAATTTAATATTGTGTTCTCAGTCTCTCTCACACTATTCCCTTCAATAATCTATTATTAATCTTTTAATATAGCAGCATTTTTTAAATTGGCAGTTACAATGCACTTGCATCACACAAAATTTCACCCTCTTTTTGAAATTCTGCTCTTTTTTTTTCTTGTTGGTTTTTTTTGTTTGTCTTTCTTTCATTGTAATTATTATAATTATTTTATTTTCTTTTTTTTGTTTTCCCATTCTCTCATTTTTTACATGACTGACCATTCTGGTCATTTGAAACTACATTTGAAAATTAACCTTTAAAACCTGACACTTTTTTCTTGTTCCTTTTTTTTTTAAATTTTATAATATTTTATACCTTTTTTTTTAACATGGTAATATTTCACTATACCTAAATCATATTTTATATACCTGTATATTAATTTGTATACAAGAACATTCTTTTTCACCCCATAAATATCATTATATCCCTATTTACGTTATATCAGTTTCAAATCAGATAAATTTGCATTGTCCGAATCTAGTGATTATGTGTGTATATTGAGTATGAGAAGGGCAAAAATGAAAAAAACGATAAATAACAAATTGCATAACTACTCGTATTTTAGTAAACGCTTACATTATATGCAGTTTGTGCGCTGTTATAATTTAATTATAATGGGTGATTTTTTTCTCTTTATATTTGCGATTTTCGTTTTTTGACACTTCCTGATTCAAACAATCAAATATATTCTATTTAGTTTTGATATTTTATAATGAGGATGCTGGCGCCTGAGCAACATTTTCAAGTTTTATTAAAATTTAGGATTTGGAATATATTCAGTGACCAGTTAATTTTACATTTTGAAACTGTTATTTGGCCTGTCAAAGTCATATGGTTTGACACCTTTTGATTATTTTTTTTTCTGGGGAACGTCAAATCGCTTGTTTGAATCAATTATTTGGCATTAATTACAGTTTTAGAGAAGAATATTAGATAGCCGCTGATATTTCTGCCGAAATGTAAGCGAAAACTTAAACATTTCAAGTACCCCATTTAAAATGTATAATGTTGACCGTAATCTTTGTTAAACTATATTTAAAAAATGGATTAAAAACAGTGTTTAACATGAAATTCTACTGATTCATTGGCTCAAATAAAAATAACGTACAAATTTACATAGGCTCGGAGTTTTTTTTTACAACTACAAATCAAACACTTAAAGAATCACCCTATATATAATATCTACCTGCACATTCCATATATATACCCATATATATATTATAATTAAATTCCAAAGAGAGAAAGTACATATATATTTGCATGGGAATCCGAGAATTTTTTCTAAATTCAAGGTATAAAAATTATTACATGACCCCGATAACCAAAATAAATGAGAAAAAAAAATTAAATAAAATTTACAACTAATGAAGGGTCCGTTTTATAGATCAACTTCTAAAAGAAGGCAAAAAAAAAATGACCGTAAAAAAAAAATGACCGTAGTTTTTTTTTCCCGAAGTTGAATTTTTATATTTTTTGGAATTCATTGAATTTTATTGTTTATTCAGTGAATGATAAATTCATAATCTTATAATCAGTTGAGTGATAAAAATAAATAAACGTATTTTATTGCAACTCTATAAAAACCAGGGGAATAATTAGTTGTAATTACAAAATAGTGCATTTATAAAATATTTTAAATGAAATTCTCTTTTTTTATATTGATAAGGGGAGAGAATACTTGTATAAAATGTAAATGATTTGATGTCATGCCACCTATAATTGTATGTATTCTATTAAGAGTATAATAAGTATGTATAAAAAATAAGAATAAATTGATGAGTTCTAGTGCCCTACATTTATGAAGTTTATAGCGAAATTATGAAATGAATTATGGGTGATTACATAAAATATATTATTTTTTTCGTCTAACTCATTTAAAATTATATTGGTTATTTAATTAGTTCATATAGTAAGGGTCGGCGGGAGTGTTGTTACATTGATTTTAATGGATTTTCGGGATTACCAGGCATCGTATAGCCTAAAAGATTTGAGATATTTCTTTAAAGGACCCAATTGATGAGTTTGAGAATCAGAGATGCACCCGAATAGATCCAATATTTTACAATTTTGAGAAGAATCATTGTGCTCCCTTTTAACAGGAATGCTGTTTTCGATGCTAGGAGAACACAAATAAACTACTTCCCAAATTCTACTGTTAAACTATCACTCGGCTTGTGAACTTTTAAATCTCAGTTGGCGTGTAGGGTGGGGGACTCCTTATTAATCATAATTCATAATAATCATAACTATTTTTTGTATATTAAATTTAATAAATTAATTTCAATTTGAGGTACATTCGACTATTATGAACTATTACAGAATTTTTCTGATATTTCTATCAATTAGGCTAATATTGTAAGAGTAAATTAACCAGATTATATCACTGTTATTATAGAAATATATGATACGGTCGCAGTTAATTATAAAATTTTATAGATATTTTAAATATTACAACAAAACAAAAACTTACCAGCAACACGAATTTTTCCCAATTTACTTTCATTTTTAATTTCATTATTATTATCCAATAATTTAATATTTTTAACATAAATTTTATCCTTTATTTCATTTATTGGATCTTCATCATTAATACTTGATATTGATTTATGATCACATGAATTTTTTCTATCATTTTTATCTTGTTTTATCGATGACATTTCATCATCATTATTTAGTTTTAAAGACTCATTTGGCTGATTTTCTTCATTCTTAAAATAATCATCATGTGGTGAATTTGATTTAATTGAAGCACTTTCAATCCAATTATTATTATTAGTGTTATTTGATGGTGATTTTTCAAGAGCTGAAAATATTAAAAAAAAAAGAAAAAATTATGTATGAAATTTCTCATAATTTTTTTTTTAAAATTATTTTTAGTAATAATTTTTTTTTTTTAGTGTAACACAAGTTGGTCTCAAGTTGGTTCTCAAGGGAGAGAATTGATTCAAAAAGCATATTGAACGTGAATTTAACTTAAAGCGCGCAGCAGCCTAGATTTTCGATAAAAATGAGTGCTGAAGGGTTATGCATGCATAAGGGGTGGTTCATTTATACGCATGGTTCTAGGACCATGGATGGTTCGGGGCAGGGGTCTTCTCCGAGGAGTTGAGAATAGAGCTGCCGATTGAGCTGCCTGATGGCTGTGGGATTTTCCAGGCAGAGATTTTGACGGTGCTCATGGCGGCGGAATTGTCTGCCGCTTAACCTATGAGGGATGCGAGCTGGTTATTTTTGTGGATAGTAGGGCGGCGATTGGGACCTTCGCGTCCTATTCGTTTGGGTCGGCTTTGGTGGGTTGATGCGGGGGCACTTTGCAATATGTGCAGGGTGATACGGGGTAATGAGATGGCAGATCGTCTTGCGAGAGCTGGGGCAGGCGGGGGTGCTGACATTGTGGATGAGTCGGTGCGTCTGCCGCTAGGAGTGTATCTTGACGTCATAGATGGTGACTGTAGGAGGAGGAGTGGGGTCTTGTGGAGCATTGCCTTTTGGGGAAAATAGCCAGGAAACTCGGAATCGCTACGACGGATGTATGTCTTGGATGTCAGTATGTGGCAGAGGTTGATGGTGTAGAGCATATTCGCTGTGCCTGTCCGTTTTTAATGTGGAAGAGAAAACGCGTCTTGGAGGCTTATTTTTATGATGGCCTGGGGGACCTATCCCAGATGGCTTGGTTTGGATAGGGAGTCTGGTGGATCGGATTGCATGGGGGTTGTTGGGTGTTGGTTTTGGGGACCTTTCTGTTGGCCTAGTGCATGGGTTTCGCGCGGATGTACGGATGGAGCCCCCCTCTCTTACTACCACCTCTACTACTCTGTGTTATAAGTAGCTCAAGAATTTTAATATGTCGACTAATGCTACAATATCGTTTTCTAGACTGATTGAATTTTTTGATATTTTTATTCACATCGTTACACCTCTATAACATGTAAAGATCGAGAAGCTTAAAAAAATAATTCTCATCTGTGTATTATTTAAAATAAATCACTTTTTTTTTCTCGCCCGATGAACGAAAACATTGAAAAAATACAATAAGATCTTCATTTCTTTTATTCTAAATTTTCCAAATTCTCATATTCATTTGCCCATTTTTATTATCAAGGATTGCAATATTTCAATTAATTTCATTTCCATAATTTATAATTCATGAAATAAATTTGAAAATTTATTTATCACTTTAAAATTTCTGCTAACACAATCACCTCTTACATGCACATTATGTACATACATATGTGTGTATAATATGCCTATTAAAAAATTTACAAATCACCATTTTGTAAAAAACAAAAAATCATGCAATCATAAAATACAAACATAAAAAAAAAATATTTTCAAATTAGCATAATCCTTTCTCTACCAAAAATATATTATACAAATTCCAACCAATTGATTCACATCAAGTCTCCTCATATATTCACGCCATACATAAATCTACATACATGTACACACATTTACAAATATTATATGCCTTACTAAAAATTTCTCACATAAAATACTCACGACGGATTGATGAGTGAAAGTGTTAAATAAAAAAAAATTTTTTGTTTTTTTTTATAACAATTTGAGAGAGTAAAGTTTTTTTTTTTTAAATTCAAATCCAAATTGCTATACTTACAACTTACTACATAATAGGAGTAACAAAACAGAAAACAAAACAACAATAACTAATTCAACTCTTTCATTTTTTATTCAATATTATAGTTTTCTCTCTCATTTTATTTCATTCTACATATTTGTATTCATATTGTACTCATTTGTTATACAAAAAAAAATTAAATTCGCTCCCCTTATTCTAAACCCTTTAATATTCTAATAAGCATTAATAAAACAAAAAAAAAATCTCTACAATAATTTTTATAAGCCCATCTCTCTCATACATATAGGCACAAATATAAAATAAAAATTCAAAATGAAAGGATTTTTGAATAAAAAAAAAAACAATTTTGCATATTAAAACGATAAACGAAGAAAATAATAATCAAAAAAAAAAAGGAGTCGAAAGGATTTCTATTTATTCTAAACTCATACAAACAAACATAGGCATTTAGGTCTGTATACAAATTTGGTATACAAAATTTTTGTATAAAAAAGGATATTATGAAGGATTGTAATATACATATTATGAGTATTATGTGAATAACAATATAACAATATAAATTTTCCCCTTAGGGGATTGGTTCGAGAGCCAAGAAAATGAAAAAAATGAACAAAAAAAAGAATAAACATTTTTTTGTTATCCTTTATTTTTTAAGACTATTTTTTTTTTTTTTTTCCAACTCTCATTTTTTTAATATGCTTATTTTTATATTATATAATATCTACCAGTATTCACGGCACGATGAAATCATAAAAATAAAACGCACATACATATATACAAACAAAAAAATTTTTTTTCACCCCTAAATAAGCATATAACAAAAAAAAATCGTGAATTTGGAAAAAAAAAAATCAGAAGAATAATATACAAATTCTATATACACAAACACACATGTAAATATAGAGGAATAAAAAAAAAAACAATTTAAGGATCCTGAATTTTATATTTTATAAAAAACGAGCTACAACGAGAATGTTAAAAAAAAAAAAAAAAGGAAACGTATGCATAACATCAACTCAGTGGGATATGCGCTGAGCAAACGCAAATCAAAGGATATTAAAAAGGACATTTATACGTTTTTTTTTTTGGTTTGCTTTTTTCTTTTCATAATGTATGTAAAAAACGAATATTGAAAATGAAAAATATAAAAAAATTAGATCGTTATGCAAACAAACTGGTATTGAATGATTGTATATAAGACAGGGTAGAATATTGGAATAAAAATTTAATGATTTTTTATATTACATAGGTACGTATACAAATAACGATAATGCAGGAATTTTAATTGAAATTCCCACCATGGTTTTAGGTATTAGGTTTATTATAGTATACTCACTTATGTATGTGTTAACAAAACCCGGTGAATACTATAATTTGTTCGTATACTCTTTAATAATATCTCTCTTTTGTATGTTAAGGTATTTTAATTGAATTTTACGAATAAGCTTGTATTTGCAGGCAGAGCTCAATAGCTCAATGTAAATGGCTCAATATTGCAATAAAATTTTTTAATAATAATTTATGTTTCCTTGATTCTTGCAAAAATTCTTCATATTTTTATAAGAATTTTGCATCCCTCAATGATGAAAAATAAATTGTTATATTGTTATTATGAGAAAATTATAACAGATTTGAATATCAAGAAATTATTTTTTTTTGTAATTCTGATGTGAAATCAAATTTAATAATTTATTGATATTTAATTTTATAATTTTTAATTTTATGAATTAAAATATTTGTAATAGTAATGAAAACTGTGTGTTATAATTTCGAATTAAATTGAATTTTTAAATAAATGGTTAGATTTTCCAATTATATTAATGATAAATAGTTAAAATTTTAGAAATAATTATTTTCTTACAAAATATAAGGTTTGTATATGTTTTTCTAAATTTCTGTATTTTCAGCCGTTCGTCTTATTTCTAACCTTATATTTTCCCACCCATTTGGCTCTAATAATTTTACTCTGAATTATTTTTGATCTCCCAATTTATTTATTTTTTTATTAAGAATTCTTCTACTCCAAAGTTTAGCGCTCCAATAGTGTTGTAGATCACCTTAGCACGGCAATGATATTGTGTTTGTTTTTGATATTACCCACAATTGCTTATTAATTTTTATTCTTTAACTGAATATATGGGACATGTTATTCTCAGACACCTATTCAGGAACATTTATAGTGTTTTCGTATTATTATTTGATTTCGTATTATTTATTTTAAGGTCTCTTAAGTCTTCATTTTTTATACTATTTATAGTAACTACAAAATTTTTGATTACATCTTTTAAAATCACCACTTCCCTTTGACATTCTGCGGTCTACATTTAGAAATCTACACAACTATCATTATGATATACCCGGAGTTCCGGGTATATCATAATGATAGTTTCCCGGTAGGAAATGAAGATGCCCTGAAGACGTAGCATTAGATTTAGAACAAAAAATAATATGGCGGACAAATTTTATATTTTAGGCCGAATGGGAAGAGATAGTGTTAGGATATCAAAATATTATAATAATTAAATATTAAAAAATAAATTGCGGTATGACATTTTGGATGATTTATGTTTTCAACACAAAAGTTATAACTCTGTTAAGCCGAAATATAAATCCGAAAATTGAATAAGTAGAATAGTAAAAAACTTTTTCCTCTTCTCAACTTCGGCTTCCACTCTAAGTGTTTGCATCTTGGATACAGTTATTTATTCCATTTCATTAATTATTCAAGCAATAATTTTAATAAGTTCACATGTTCCATACACTGACAATGCCTAAAATATATACCACACTTCTTTTCTGATTGAATTGCGATTCTCTAATAAATACAGGGTTATTATGAGAGACATTGTACAGTATAACCTAAGTAATACCTCTGCTAATTCTCATTTTATGAAATTTTTTCCAATGAGGTTACTTGTCCAACTTACAACCCCTCAGCTACAATCAGCATAAATACATAGTATAACCAAAATTCCCAAATTACAATTAAAAAAATTAATTAATAAAAATCTCATTATTAAAAAATAGAAAACTAGCTTTCAATTAACACGTGCTAAAAAATTATCGAATTAATTTTACGATTGGTTTAAACTTTTCTTATTATAAAAATTTTCATTTATCAAATTATATAAAACCATATTTCCGGGCATAATGCCGCCATCAAGAAAAAGATCTCACTTTTACCTGAATATATTTTTTATGTTAAA